TTCACCGTCAGTTAAAGATGGATGGAACTAACAGCCTTGGTAGAAAAGAAGGGGATGCCTTATAAAGCAACAGCGCGTCTTCTCTTGTTCAAGTAATTGGCTATGATGATGATGTTTTCTTTATCTGTGACATCTGTGAAAAGCCGGCCCATGTCTTGGCAGGGCAACCTGAATCATGTGTGAGATGAGAAGGATTCGAAAATGGGTTCTTTCTCACTTGCATGTAATTAGGTTTTTGCAGCCATTGTGGCGTCCTCCTTCCTCTGATCAAAAGAATAGATCTGAGCCAACCTTCTTTACTGTTGCTTATTTTTGGCTTGCTAGTACTGCCTGCTATTATGGATTCATTGAAATTTTAGCTCTATGAAGAATGAGGCAGCGAAGAGATGGGATTTTTTTTTTTGAAAGTTGGTTTTCCCTATCTGTTTACACCTATGATTTTTTTCTTGTCAAATCCCATAGGCCTTTAGAGTCCTTGTTCGAAGGCAGGGTCTTGAATCCAGCTGATGATGACGACGATGTCTTTGATCTAGAGAAGTAGTCCCTGTAGCAGATGCGAATGAGTTCATGGGTCTTGAGCTCCAAATGTTACACTGCATTATGTCAATCGCCGGGACCAGATCGCCGGAGTTTCGCTCTCCAAACTGGGCTTCTTTCATTTCCTTCTCTTTTCCACATTTTTCAATTTTTGAGAAAGCATTGAATGCTATTTTGAACATCCTAAAAAGACCCTGTCTTTTGTCTTGAAAATCGCACTAACGGACAGATCAAAGAATTTAACGGCTAAATGTAACAGAATATCGCACTAACGGACAGATCAAAGAATTTAACGGCTAAATGTAATAGAATGACCTCGCGTCTTACCTTTATATAATTTAGTGGCCAAAACCAGATTTTTAAAAGTTGAGTGACCAAAACTCGACGATCGCAAAAATTTAATGACCAACCGGATAATTTGCTCTTCATATTTTAACACAATTAGTTCTAAATTTTTGACTTACACAAACACTAGCAAATAAGTGGTAAATATGAAAAGATTAGGACTAAATTAAGACGAGTATTTAAACAAATAACCAAACACGTACATGAATACTAAACATAAAAGATTAAAGCAAGTAAATACAAGCTGAGATAATTGCCAAAATACAATCGTCCCAATAAAGTACGCTACCCCGATTGATCCTAAATCCCTATAAATAGATATAAACCATATTCAGTTGTTTGGATAGTGAATTATTTCTAAAAATTTATTTGTTTGTATGATGGACATATTTCTCAATTATATTTTATCTCACATATATAACATCAAAAAAGTATTATAGTATTTTTTGAAAAATCATCCCAAATAAGCTTGTATCCAAACACACTAAAGTAAACTATCTCTTATATTTAAAATACTTTATTTAAAATGTTTCATATGAAATTTAAAATTTGTGCAATGCTTTGCATGTTGTGTATGACATATATAATCATTTCATAAAAGAGCAACCAATGAAGTCTGAAGTGAATTTGATAGGCTAAAACAAACTAGTGCACAAATTGAGGGCCTTCAGTTGCAATATCCCCATCAAGCGATCAAGGTCTCCCTTTTCTCTTCCCCATCGGATTATCTCCCAAAATCAAGCAGCTAAAAACAAAAAAAGCAGCAACAATATGGACAACCCAGAAGAATGGAGACAACAGGCATGGGCCCACTTGACAAAACTCCGGCAAGAGTGCCCATTAGTCCAGTGTATCACGAACTTTGTATCAATGGATTTAATGGCCAACGTGCTTTTATCCGCCGGAGCATCGCCGGCCATGGTTCACTCAATTGATGAAATCCCTGAATTCACTCCTAAAGTTCACGCGCTCTGCATTAACGTGGGCACACTCACTCCTGACTGGCTACCGGCCATGAAGGTGGCTGCAGAGACGGCGAACAAAGAAGGGAAGCCTTGGGTTCTGGACCCTGTGGCAGCTGGTGCTTCCAGTTTCCGGTTGATGGCCTGTCTTGAACTTCTTGGGATGAAGCCTAGTGTTATTAGGGGTAATGGGTCTGAGATTCTGGCACTTTTTAAGGGTTCTGTCGACCCCAATTCAAAGGTTAGTTTCAAGATTGAATTTTTTGAAAATTTCTTGAGTTCGCAATTATTGTTTAGACGTGTGTTGGTGATGATGAATACACTTTGGTGTTTATTACGTTGGCTCTTTTATTTATGATATAATTCAGAGAAAGACTGGGAGGACAATATAGAAGGCTTTTACTTTGAAGTAATTATTGTTTTATCTTTTATGCATTTCTTGAATGAGTTTCTCTGTGCTAAAAGCGTAAAAGTTATGGAAATTTCGGAAGAGATTTGAATAGTCTAAATCTTTTATGCATTGGAAACAGTTGTAAAGTATTCAATTTTCTTAACTGCTGTTGCTCCATTGTTAATGGATATAAATCCATGCAAAGTTAATACAAATGGATTTTTGCAGCCTCGTCCTATTTTCAGTGGGAGATAATGCCCAAGTACCTTGCCCTGAAAAGGTCGCTGTGTTCATTACAAATCCCTAAAATAGGAGAAAGGGGATAAATTGAATCTTTCATAGGAGATTCATGTCCTTTGAGTTTGTTTTTCGTTAGTTTTACTTTATCTTCTGACAAGTTTACCCCGCATTATTGGGTAGGTATGGTCCTGCAGGTTTTGTAGATGGGCTATTGTGTTCTTGTATGAAACTTAGAAGTCAGGCTTCTTTCTTATTACCTTTGAGAGGTACAGCTCTGTAATCCTATCATATGACAAATATCTGTCTTGCTTTTGAAAGGGTGAATCTTTATTGCAAAAAGAAATATTGTTTCTGTGGATGTCTGTACATGAACTATACGTCCTTTTTATATATAATTTTCATTGTCTTATTGATTTTTAAGTTCTTAGTCTTGTTCAATCTGAATGCTGAGAAGAATGGAGAAATAAAATAGATTACTTGTGCTTCATGGAAGAAATGTTTCTAATAAATATGGAACTTAGATAGATCGGTGCCTGTGTACTTTGCATATTTGCTGTATTTTGCTTTGCATAAAAGACCAAAGTTGTTGAATAACTTGGTTCATATATTTCACCAAAGCAATGCATGTGATTGGTACACGGAGTTCATATTCGTGTCTTAGGTGAGAGTGGACTGCAGGAGCAATTTAACGCCCTCAGTTTCTTGGCATACTTGACTTAAGATTAGAAGCATTTGGCGGTGCTTATAGTCCCATGCTCGTCTCCCAGACTACTCGACTGAATGTCGTGCTAGATACTTTTTGGATGCTGATTTTACTGAGAGCCTGTGTTTGATTTTGCGACAGGCGAAATATTTTTCTTTAAGGATCATCAGTCCCATTTTACTTGCTGTTAAGCTGAGAACTCTCAGCTCCTGATTACTTGGACCTGCACCTTGATGTAACTAAATTAATGCATCAGATAACTTGGTTACTAGCCATATTACCCTTCCTTTGGTATCTCTTGCAAGAATACACGGATTTGAGTGTTTCATTGAGGTGACAGCTGATCCTGGAACATCCAGTATCATCTAATGCTTACCATCTAAACAAAATAAACATATCTGCAATTTCTTTTGTGGTTCTGTTGTCTTTCTTGGCTTCCAGTTCCTTTCTCTGGCAAATGATAATTCCAATCTGTGGAAATGATAATACAGGTTGTGGAAATGGAAGTCAGATTAGGGTGTGTATAAGATACTCGTAATAAAATCTCTATTTTCAGTTTCAGCTATTTAGTTTATTTTGTGAGTGACAAAAATCTTGTTGAAGAGTCATAGCAAGGGCGACTATCTTTGATGTTGAGTTAACTAAACTTCAACATAACATAGTTGGTTAATTTTGAGTTCTAATACATTTTTCTTTTGTAAAAGGGTGTGGACAGCAGACATGAATCTACAGATGTAGTGGAAGCAGCAAAATCCCTGGCTCAACTGAGTGGATGTGTGGTAGCAGTGTCTGGAGCTGTTGATGTTGTCACAGATGGACAGCAAGCTGTCAGCATACGAAATGGAGTAGCCATGCTGCAGAAGATTACAGCAACAGGGTGCTCGGTCACTGCCCTCATTGCTGCGTTTGTTGCAATTGATCCTCTACACGTAGTCGAAGCCACAGCTTCTGCATTGTCTTTGTTTGGTGTAGCCAGTGAGATAGGGATGGACATGGCAAAAGGTCCAGCTTCATTGCGGATGCACTTGATTGATTCACTTTATGGGCTTGATCAAGGTACAGTTTTTAATCGAGTGAAGATAACCAAGTTGTAATAATGCATTAGTGCAATAGAATGTACATAGGCAATAACTATTCCACCTATTTGAGTCATTTTTGCAGTCTGTATTGAGCCCATGATGCATGATCATTCTTAAGGATCTGACTTCTTGAAAAATAGATTATGATCATCTTAAGGTCTATACTATATGAAAATCAGTTCTAGATCATTTGTAGTAAATAATCGAGCTGTATTGTTTTATGCACTTACTACTGTCTTCCATCTTTGAATATAATTTGCAAGCTATTGGAATAGAAATTGTCTGTACTTAGTTTCAATATCATTGGGCTTTGGTAATATCCATCTTGAAGTTGTTTACATTGAACTTTATCTTCTAATGTATGGAAAGCAAAGCTACAAACTCAATAATGGAGATCACAGTCGAAAGATGATCACCTTGTAATTACTTTTAGTTTACTCTCTTTCATTCTGTTCATGGAGCAATAAATGAATTAGTTTCCATTTATTACTATGGTCATTATGTTAAGGAAGGAAATGATTAAATGTTGTTTTGGAAACAGTAACTTTAAATATTCTGTTATTCTTTCTTCATTGACTTTCTTATTTCTGGTTTCTGTGTTTTACTCTCTCTCTCTCTCTCTTGCTCTTTGAGGCATCAACATAGGCATTTAATTTTAATGTGAAAAATATCGTTATCCATGATTTTTTGTACAACAAGCAATTCTTAATTTTCTTTGCCGAGTCTGCTGATACAGAAAGCCATTGACAACAAATTCATGAATAGATAAGATGGAAACATAATTTTTTGTTTCTTTTTGAGCAATGGTATGTTGATATGATGAAATGCACAACAAGCTCACTCAATTTTCACACAAACAAACCAACATGTTTCTGTTGAGTAGCAAAACAATCTCAATAAGTAAGATGGACTGTGAGCCTCAGCAATGTCTCTGCACCATCTATAACATGCTGCCCAGATGGTATGAGTGATCGGACTTCCGCAAACCCACAAGCATTCTTGAAGTTGCCAGTGCCTCCTGTAACTGACAGACGTGACATGGTACTTCCAATCTTGTAAACTCCAAAGAAGTTCAAGCTATCACCATATTCCCCTCCTTCCATCATAGCTGTGAATGCCATCATCTGTGTACTCCCATCAGCAGAGCTTGCAACATACACTCCCTGGGCTTGCCCCAATGGCTGGGTGCCAAACTCAGGTGAAGAGGTTAAAATATCATCAATCACAGTTATTGTTCCAAAGCCGAGTCCCAGGCCATCAGGTCCAAGTTGGGTAGTGATTGGATTACCATTGTTATTGACATTGTTTTGACCAGTAAAAGCTGTACCTGCTAAGCCAGTACCCAAGGGAATGCCATTGATGTTGACGGTTGGGATTGCGCCATTGGCGTTGGGGATGACAACACCATTCTGAGGGGGAACGAAACCTAGAGGCCTTGCGAAAGGCACTTGGCCACTGTATATGTTGCCTAGCAAGCCAGTGATGGGTCTGGCTGTGGGATTGCTGCCTCCAAGAATGTCATGCATGTATAACTCGAGAATTGGCTCTCCTACTGGTGCAGGATCAACTGCATCTACAATAGCATGTATGGCTGCAAATACCATTGCAAGGAAAATGGATATTGAAGATTGCTTGAACATGTTGAGAATTATGGATTTCAACCTTGGATTTCAAGGGATTTTCTGATGTATAATGAAGAAGAAAATGTTTTTCTAAATTCAGGATGCACAATTGTTTTTGGTCTCCTGTATATATAGTGATCAGAGAATGTTAGAGCATTTCGTGGAGTTGTTATTTGGCTGGAAATGATAGTGAAGTTGTTGTTTGGCATCATAAAGAAGAGAAAAATGGTGCAGTTGTTGTTTAGCATAAAAAAGAGGAAAAAAATGGTGAAGTTGTTGGAGATTGGAATATCTTAAACTAGAACGCTTCCACTTCTCCCCAGGCCATCCACAGAGGGAGGAATATTGCATTTCCTGTGTTTCTTTTTGGAAATTTGAGGGCTTTGTTTAGAGATATGATTTTGTTACATCCGAGTGAATAAGGCCCTTGTTGAGTTTATCCACTTTGGTAAATAATTCAAAAGCTATACACTTAGTTCAATCAATTTTTTGGCTATACCAGATTATTGCCTCCTGATCTTTTCTTTGCGGTAAACTGTAATATAAAAGGTTCCATTTGGATTGTCACTATTTTCGGGGAAAAAAAGAAGAAGAAGATTTGAGAATGGCTTGGTTCTCGTTTGTTTTAAATTATCCAAAATTTGATTATAAAAACTAATTATAGAGAATAATGCCAGTTTATAATCGGAATACAATGTTAAAAGAGACCATTAAAAATTTTGATTTTTCAAAATAATCAGGTAAAATGATCAAATGATAATAAATCCAATACTTCTTTTACACATTTCCCTGAAAAGGTTGCTGTGTTCATTACAGGTAAAAACTGTTTGTTTGCTTGTCTGTTGTGCAGGTGTTGGAATTCTTGCTAGATTCCAGAATGAAGTTAGAGCTGTTGCTTAAAGTTGGAGAGGAAAGAGGGAAAAAAGGAAAAAGGAGAATAGAATACAAATTTGGGAATTTAAGTCCCTTATGAATTTGTCACAAGATCTTTCCACAATATCTGTTTTAGTTTTGTACTTCTGTTTATATTCTCTTCTCTAGAGATCGATTAGGTATTATCCCATTAGTACAAACCAATCCGTTTTGACCTCAATCAAGTTAAACTAGTTTCTGAGGGTGGAACAAAATAGAGTTGTGACCTCTTCACTGCAGCAAGTTATTAACCACACATGAAGACTAGAATTCTTGAATATGAAGGGGGGGATCTCAGAACACTAGAATGGTTTTAGTGAAAAGTGCTTATGGAAGTAAATTTGCCGAGATTATGAGATGTACCAAAGCCAATGTTTGACAAAAAAAAAAAAAGCCAATGGACTCTGGTCCTTACATGGTTCTTTAATCATAATTTAGATGGATGTTTCCTCTGTCAATGATTGTTTCTTTACTTCCATATCCGGATGTCATGGTTCTAGCTTCAAAGGACTCGTTTTTAAATTCTGCATTTTTTTTTTCATTCTCAAGAATTGGGCTAGATCTTACACTAAATCTATAAGTAAATCTTATATATATCGATGGTGTATACACTATCACGGTTGGATATACGATACGTATGCAAAATTTGAATTATGTGTTATGTGTCTAATGATAAAAGTGCATGCACTGTCAATGTATAGAACATTAATCTTAAATTTTATTTGCCCTGCAACTTGGGATTTTTGTAGAGGAAGAAGTCGACCAATTCATGAATTATACTTTTGAATATGTGGATTTAGTTTCAGAATTTACTCTTCAAAGATTGTTCCCTCATTGCTAATCATGCATTGTACCCATGACTGCACTTTAGTAGGTGATTTTGAATTTAGGAAATTTATGTATTCAACATCCTTAATCCGGTAATAAGCCAATTCCTACAAGACTCCTTATAAACTGTATTAAACACAGCAATAACATATTAAGCCTCTGCAACAATATCCAATTTTGTGAATTTTGGTTAAGGTAAAACCTTGGTCCTTCAAGGGCAAATTTGTTTAGTATTTGTTATTCTTATTTTTTGCTTTGGTGAAAATTGAAGTGCAACAGATACCTAAACAATGCTCTCCATAAAGGCGTGATCAAGAAAATGAACATATAAGGACTTCCCTAACATTCCAATCCAAAGGCGTGATTCTGACAAGGGAAAGAACAGCGCCTTCATTTCAATTGAATCTCCTATCTTCGGATCAAAAACCCCAAATCCCATCCTTGCTTCTTTTTGGCTTAGGAGTTAATACCTCTGTAGCAATTTGACGAGGTCCTGAATCATTTACAGCAGTTAAAATCTGCATATAACGGGGGTGAAATTTTTGGAAACCAATTGAAAAGTCAAATCCAGGTCAAAATTGGAGAAGTTTATTAAACTACAAGAAATTCCAAATTGCCACCGCCGTGGTAATTTCCTAAATCCTGATCCCCCAACAATTGTTGGAAACATCAAACGCAAACCTACATCTTCGATTCCTTTAAGAATTAGAGAAAGACCAACTCGTATAACTATAGAACTCTTACATTATTATGCTTCATATATACATGTCCCTCTTCAATCAAATCTTTGCTACTCGTGAGACTCCATTATTCTCCAAAAAATTCAGCAAATTAGGGAAAGACCAACTCGTCTACCTGTAGAACTCTTACATTATTATACTTCATATATACACGTCCCTCTTCAATCAAATCATTGCTACTCGTGAGACTCCATTATTCTCCAAAAAATTCAGCGAATTAGAGAAAGACCAACTCGTATAACTATAGAACTCTTACATTATTATGCTTCATATATGCACGTCCCTCTTCAATCAAATCTTTGCTACTCGTGAAACTCCATTATTCTCCAAAAAATTCAGCAGAAAAATGACTGGGAATAACAAGAAATCACGGCCAAATTGGTCTGAGCTGAATCAAGACCTTCTTGGAATTATAGCTTCAAAGCTGTTATACCCAGATATCATACGTTTCAAAGCAGTTTGTTCTTCATGGTTTGCTGCGGCTGAGAGATATTCTTCACCAGGGCCACTTCTGCTTTGTCCTTTAACTCGAGAAACTGACGCTGAACATGTAAGACTTGGTGCATGCAGCATAAAAGACGGAACAATCTACGATCTCAACATGGAATTCGAAAAACCTGAAGATGTTTTTTCAGCATCTGATGGTTTTCGATTTATAGGTTCCTCACATGGCTGGATGGTGGCTGAAGACAAGGGTTCGGAGCTTTATTTGCTGAATGTTTTCTCCAGAACCTGCATCCCACTCCCTGGAAAAGGCACCATTCCAACAACACAGAGTTATGGGCCTAAGTTTTCTTTGATTCAATCTCCCACAATGATTCAGAAAGCAATATTAACTGCTAATCCATCATTAGATGAGAACTACAAGGTCATCATCATATACGGTTGCCGCGAGAAACTTGCTTTTTGTGGCTTTGGAGACCAAGAATGGGTGAGATTTAGCAATTCTGAAGGCTATGATGATGTTGTATGCTATGATATGCTGCTATATACATTGAGGGAAGGGCAAATCGAGGTATGGGAAATTTCTGATTCTTGTTCTCCTACCAAAAAGATATGCCTGGAATGTTGTTACACAACAGACTCGAGTTATCCAAGAGAGATTTGCTGTACTCAATGGTACTTGGTGCCATCATTGGGGGAACTTCTGCTCATTGAGAGGTTTATCGGGGAGTTCGTGGATGATCAAGGCCAGCTTCATCCTGAGGGAGATCTTCTGACAGATGAAGATAGCCACCCTCTGCTTTTTCCTTATAAAACGTTCAGCTTCCAGGTTTACAAGTTAAATATGATCGAAAAGAAATTGGAAAAAGTGACATCGTTGAAGGATCAGGTGATCTTTTTGGGTGGAAATCATGGGATTTCACTCTCTGTTAAGGATTATCCAGAATTCATGCCGAACTCGATTTATTACACTGATAATTATTGGGATCGGATGCATGAAGATTACTTGTATGGAGGTCATGATTTTGGCTCATACAGCTTAGAAGAAAACAGCATTGCTTCACTTGTGCCTTATTGTGTGGAGAGATTTGATCCAACACCCTTTTGGGTTTTGCCAAATTAGTGAGGCTTGTAACTAGTAGTAATGGACACGTACAAATGAACTTGATGATTTTTTTTCCCTTCCCATATTATGAAACATTTTCTTACTTTCAAATCAAAAAAATTAATTATTAGAAATAGCATCCCAATTTTTCCTTTTTTGTTTAACTAATTGTCTTCAGGGCATATTTTTGTGATGCATCGACAATCTTCAGACCTTAAAATTGAAATGTCAAATCTTGATCAAAGCAAGGCCTCAGTTGCATTATCAAAGAAATATTGCTCTGTGATGTTACCTCTCTGTCTGAGTGAAGAACTTGGAAACAAATGTAACAGTCTAGTGGTGTAATATTTGTATAGTATTTCTGGATGGCATCTGTGATTTCATATCTCCAAACTTCTTACAGAACTTGATGGCACCTTCTTTCCTTCTTCTCATTCCAATTGACCAAAACAGGTATCAATGTAGTATGCAAGATTGGTGAATTCGCAGGAGGCAAGATTGGCACCTTCTTCCATTTTCAGGTGTATTAAATTCTTGTCCCTCATTCCATCCAATCTCTTCCAGCCCCCATTTTCATTCTTGAATTTGCTAATTTATTTGGCCTATTTATGAATGATAACTCGTACAGAAATTTAACAGAAAAAAACTACAGAAGAGGAGGGCAAAGGCCAAGAGGGGGATTACCAAATTATGATACAGAGAATAAATGTTAGATTGATACAGCTTCGTTTTTCTTAAATTCTCAGTATTTGTTTCGACAATGTCATATTATTGTAAAATACTTGCTTCACAATTCAATCATGAAGATGAGGCCAAAAAGCTAATGACAAAGAAAACATCTTATTTTTTTTGGTGATTAACATTTTAAGAAACTAATTTTTTCAGTTTTTGAGTTGCAAAAATACATAGTAAGTACTTACTTCTTTAAAAAAAAATTTGGGGCGAGAAAATTAATTATGTGCTTGGATAATTAATCTCCTAGTATTTCCATTGCGTTTAATGGTCTTGATTTTGATTTGTTCACTTTACAGATTATGATTAGCTCCTTGTACCAAAAAAAAAAAAAATTCACTGCAATTAAGTTAAGTGCAAGAATGCAAAATGGTTTTTGAGGATCTTGAAAAGATGGAAACAATGAAAATGATAATAACTATAAAGTGATTGCTGCTGAGATGACATGAGATATAATCCAAAAACAAAAACTTATTGGCAATTTGAGAATCTGAAACTCAAAATAAATGAAATGATTATTACATTTTTTAATGAGTGTCATTTTATTGAGCAATGTTGTGTTATATTTCGCGCCTTCTACTTAAACGAGTAAAGATTGATGAAAGGCGTGGACGAAGCATGTGCTTTATTTGCTTAGTAGGGACATTAAATACTACTTATTGTTTTTCAGGGGTTATCTTTATTTTGTACTCTGACACACAATTTGATTGCCACAACAAATGAAGAAAAAAAATAGAGATACAAATCTGCCAAAAAAAAGAACTTGTGCTCGATTTATACATTCGTGGAAGAACAAAATCCAAAATCCTGAAGCTAGATTTTATACTCCCTGCACAGGCTCTTCGTGGTGCATAACTTTGTTCTGTCTCACTACAGGGGAAATCAATTTCCACACTGCAATGAAAAATGTAAACAGTATTACAAACAGCAAGAATTGCCTAGCATGACAAGACTCAGATTGTTTATCTCCAAAATCTAGACTCTGCTGATTTTCAATTTTATGATGGCATGCAAATCTGTCATTCCTCCTGTTGGAAACCTGTACAGATTATGGGGTACTCTTATGGTGTACTCTTTATGTGGCTTGGAACTGGGAAAAGGTAAAGAGAAGCTTTGCAAAGGCCATGACCATGACAATCAGCTGTGGAACTCCAACAATGGCTAGATGCATACACAAAGTAAATCTGAAACAGAAGCTTTGATCACAGAAGGAATTCGAGAGTTAGGGATAACAGTTAAATTAACTCACAGTATATTGTGGCCGCAAACCATTCATTGATGATCTTCACCCATGTACTAGCCCAGCCAACATCAATGCACCATCTGTTGTTTGAGATTGATTCATGAGGAAAGTAGATCAAACTTGAGCAGGAAAAGAGGTCTATGGAGCATTGAGAGCATAGTTGTTACCTTTTTGTCAAGCTATCTAGATTCCAACTGATGAATAGCATTGCAAAGTACATGGCCCCCAGGGAGAACACCAAGTGGAAAAAGCCATACTTATATGGGATATCATCCTCCGATTGAATGTCGTCTTTACGAAACTGGAAGACAATGAAAGCAAAATCAATAATCCCTCCGGAAGATGAAGAAATTATCTGCTAAACGATGCCTGATATTATCAGAATAAAGTGCGCTTCTGGTGCAACAGAATGACTGCATCTGTGGTTTCATTGATAAAGAACCTCAGTTCACCTGAAAGGTTTGTGAATCAATTCCAGTGGAAAAAGTTGCCATGACAATTGCACAAACAGCTATAAAAAAGCCCTGGAAGCAACAGAATGGAGATGTGCACTTCAGTTGAATAGTTTAATGCAAAGTAGGAAAGTTTTCTTAGCTCTCCATTTTTGGCAGTTACGACTGATAGGGGAATAGGTATATCAAAAGGATGTTTTCTCTTACAATTACAGTTGTCCAACCTCCATGTCCGCTATCTTGGGTCTGAGGGCTACATTTAGCAGTAGCTGGTTCACTGGAAAACATATAGGCAAAAGCAGAAAGCATTAAGTTAGTTTAAAACAAAATGTCAAAAAATTTGAAGATTTTCTTAATCCACATTATAAGGCTGAAGTAACTGTAAATGTTTGAGCTGGAATGAATATAGTGATTTGTCAAGTATCAATCAAAGCTACTATCAAAGTTTGAAGGGAGACTTGATAAAAGTGAACATAGGAAATTCTAACCAAAATCTTTCAACTGAAACAGAAAATAATCGATGCTTATTCAGAATATTTGGTTGCTTTTGCTGGTGAGAAAAGGGTTATTTTTATATATATAGAATTAGATCTTGTTCAAAATCATCAATTTCTAACTAGCAATACTCTCTCTTTATCCACTATGCTAATCCAGCAGAATTGAAAAAATGACGAAATGCCTACACGTTAAGATTTAAGACGGAAATATTAGGCCGGACAACCTATAATGAGCTTAATATATTAGCAATGCACATGTAGAATTCTCCAGCAAAGAATCTGAAACTCAGAACTTCTTGACAAAATGCTTGTTCTATCTGTATAATTTTCTGATTACTTTCATGCATGAAAACTCTCACCTTCTGATAGCACTCCAACAAAGGAAAACAATATAAGAAGCCATAATCCCTGAAGACAAAAGACCTCTATTCACCTGTCCTAAGCATGGAAATAACCATGAATTAGATGTAAGTATGGCACATCAACATCATAAATGAAGTACACACACACACACACACATATATATTTTGGACTGCAAACATGGTGTAACTTTGAAGTGAGAGCATATAAGAGAATCTGCACTTTTGTTCTATAGTTGGCAGACAGATTACATGCAATGTATGGGCTGTAACTTAAATTTGGGCATGTACAAGTCAAATAATCTTTCAATGAAGTAACTTCATTATTAGTGGAAGCTTTGTATATCGATGAAGTTACAATACTTGGAAATGCATTCTCTTGGAACTTACCTTAGAATGCAAGGATATAATCATCATTACGGCTAGCAAAATTCCTGTCCAGGAGATGAAGAATATGTTGAGAGTGCAGGATGCCTTTGAGGCATAGAGCACAAACATCAAAACAATCCCGCAAACTGAACCAATGTAGAATAAGGTTGACATGAATATTCCCAGAGAGCAGCTGCAAGGGATGTTAAGTGCAATGCAAGTTAAACATCATAATGGTCCATATATGTGAAAAAAAAAAAAAAAAGAACTTAATTCCCTTGAGCCAGTGGGGCGCCTGGAGTAAAATAAGCTCCATAGCTGATGTTTGATCTAGGATACAGCCGTTTAAGTCATCATAGTCTTTCAAAAGTTCCCTACTTTTAATTCGTATTCATTTACAAAACGACAGATGATATGAGCTTAGATAGGACTATGTTTACTGCAAATCAAGATCACATACCTATGTTTCTTTTTCTCATCAGGCATCCAGTAGTCATTCCACCACGTGATGAACTCAATAACACTTACAAGTTGGAGAAGAAGAAATATCCTGCAGCATATGAAGTAAAATGTGACTCCAGGAGCCCAAAATCAACAAGGAGCATTTGCTATAATTGAAGCCAAAAGGCGACAATTTCTCACTATATAAATCCAGCAGGCCTAAGATAATTGAGACTCGTACTTAACAAATATATTTGTTAAGGACATGAACAGATATGGTAAATTCTCAGGCTCATTGTGCCAATGGGAAAAAGCTGTAATTCTTTGCTAGGCTTTGGATGTGTAAGCCATCTTCTTTATGTAATATTCATGTGGAAAGATATGCAGAACCAATTTTTGACACATTTAAGAAGGAAAAATACTTGGTACGCTGACTGATTTCAGACATGCAGTTCCAATTAGTGTATAAGAAAACACTGCCTAGAATGATTATATTACAGAACTTGAAGGAAAAGCTCCATCATTAAAATGTGAAGAATTTTGAAGTGGACGTGCAGTTCTAAACAATCAGATTGTTCTAGTGAAATTTTAAGGTAGGAGAAGTTTTGAAGGCTACCCCGCGCCAATGCGAGCAATTTCACCTGCGAGAAGAAGCAAGTAAACTAAATTAGTTCTTGACTAAGAAAGAAAAACGACATAAGACAGGAATTGACTATATTGCGGAATGCCAAGGAAAAGCTTTCATGTTCGAAATGTAAGAATTTTGTGTTGCATTAGGTTTAACAACAGAATCAAGTGGTCACGACTCGTGAAACAAATCTTGTATATTCAAATTGGATTTCAGCGGACGTACCATAAACTTGAATATAATCGGACGGGACAAAGAATGGAATCACCAAGGAGATAATCAGTATAACAAACTTCAGAGCCCACCATCCAGAATGCCATTGGTTGCGGGCTTGATGCAACTTCTTCGTGTTACATGTTGTAAGAAACATTCCGAAAAAGAATATCTGAATTTCATGTCAAGGTGTCCACTTTTGATATTACGCAGAAGTATGCAATTTAGATAATTTGAACTTTCTAGTGAAGGATGAATAACTGCTGTTCAGTAGCCTGATAAATTCTCATGGGTATACAGGCAATGAGGAAAAAATCCATGCAAGAGAAAGAGAAGTTGGAGCCCAATAGCAATTCTGGAAAGTATTAACTCATGAAATCATGCATCAATTCTATCTAGACATGATATATTACAGGATCAAGCTAGATGGCCTATGATAATTGTCTAACTAAGACAAAAATCGCTTTATCTGGCATTCATGCTCCAAAGTCTAACCCTGGTATCGAAATTGAACTCACATTTTTCCAGTAAACACCTAAACAGAACATTTTCAATAATTCACTTACTCAAATATAAGCTGGGAGGCCTTCCCGGTTAAGGCTTTATGCAAACTCAATTAATTCTCAATAAGCAAGAATTAAGCACTGATGACTCTTTCAAGAAAAAGATACAAAGCATCCTAAACTGACACGAAGAACACCGAGCGTGTGAAAGCAACCAGTTTGTCCAACTCTACATGCTTTTGAATCTGCAGAAAAAGATGGGAAAGGGGTCATAACAGATGATATTATAAACACCTGTCCTCTTATACATGTGTATTGCACATGAATGAGGATAGTCAAATGACATGAGCGTATATGAACTACTTCATACACTTTAGATTAAGAGGAAAAAATTGAATGACAAAACCATGCAGTCTTTTCCTGTAATATTCTCATCAAATAAGACTGAAATGAAAATATTAGGGACATCCAACAAATATATGAACATTCAATGAACATCTGGTAGAAAGACAGAGAAAATGAAAGCATCCATCATCGTAAACTTCAAGTAAATTATCCTTTAGAGTTCACGGTCCTTTAAAAAAAATAGAAATAATTTATAAAAACAGTAAATTCATGACAACTTGAAACTGGACTCTAGACTTACAGTGAAGTAGAGGGAGAATCTTTTCTCCATAGTCACGAAAGAACCAAGCTGTAAGATTTATTATCAAGAAAATCATGCCATAAGCATAACGGGCTCGAAGAGATTTCTTCTTTTTAACCAAGCTCTCGTTACTCTTCTGTTCCAGTTGTCCGCGCTTTTCTGCTGGATGTATAGCCACATTGTCACTTAATTTGACTTCCACCATGGTGGCTTCATCTGGTGCAGCAGACTCAACCATCCTACAATTCCGGCTGCAATATTCTGAACAGGAACTTCAGATACGACAATCTATAATCATCCAAGGCAAAATGCTCTGGCTAAGTCAATTATCTGCCAATGCCATTGTATCCTGAGCCCAGTAAGTAAAATTGTGCAACAGTGAGCTCAGGCTTCCGATTTTGGAAATCCCTTTTACACTCAAGGACAATAATGACTTAAGGAGCACTTTTCCATTTGATAATGCAGCTTAGATGTGAAATGAGCAGTTCTTTATATGGTATGCAAGTTTAGATGTCCAAATAATTATTCCCTGATAAATTTATCAGCATGCTTCACCAACCAAATTCATTTTCGTCAAAGTCACAGTAAGGATGTTAAACAAGTTAGTATTAGTTCTCCGTATGTAAAAGAAGTTCCAATTGCAAGAACAAAATGCAGCAGAAAAATGAGTCCTAGAACAATGCAAGCTGGCTAAAGAATATGTCAGACATAGCTAAACTTCTAGAGGAGGATTGGATTAAATTAAATCTGAGTTTGAGGAATGTAGATTGACTAAAAAAATTAATACACTACCAAAACCTTGAAAACATGAATTGTACAATTACTTGTAAAACACTCCTAGAATGACAGCTAGCACTGGTCTGATAGTGTTGCAACTAACTGATACAGGACAGCTGAAGAAGTGTCAAAATGATAGAGTAAATGGCTAACCTTTCTCTGTTTTGGTTTTGGAGAGAGGACTGGGTTGAGGCTTGAGACTTGAGAGTCGCACTTCTTCAGCCAGAAGTTAGTGAAGCTCTTCAGCCAGAAGTTAGTGCGACTCTCAGCCAGAAATTCCACTTTACCCCCTTGTGGTTTAGCGTTTTTTCACATAACCCCCCAGTGGTTTCAAAAGCTATACATAACCCCCTTATGGTTTGGATTAAAGTGTCAAAGTGACGGAAATGATCATTCATAACGGCGTCATGTAAAATGTCAAAATTACCCTTATGTAAAGTTGAAAATTATTTATTAACCAATGGGGGTTATGTGTATATTTTAAAAATCATAAGGGGGTTATATGGTAAAGTACTAAACCATAAGGGGGTTATATGGTAAAATATAAAAAGCATACGGGGTTAATGTGTCATGTATTTATAAGGGTAATTTCGACATTTTTAAAAGTTCCGTTACGAGTGACTATTTCCGTCACTTTGACACTTTAATCCAAACCATGAGGGGGTTATGTATAGCTTTTGAAACCATAGGGGGGTTATGTAAAAAAAAGGGTAAACCACAGGGGGGTAAAATGTAATTTGCCCTATTTAAATATAGAACCAACAAAACTCTCAGCTTCTGATCTTCTAGACAAAAGGCCAAATGGAAAAAGCAATAAACAACAGCCCACAATTGGTCACATGCGTGCTAATTAATCAAATCTCACTAAAGAAGAATATCCTCCAAATTCTGCACCTTCTCTGCCCTCATTTTCACAACCTTAATTAAGGCATAATTGTTGTCAAACCTTAACAAGCACTCTTGTTTTTAATTACAGAATTTTATAGTCCCTGAGAAATTAATTTAGCTGATATATAATGGTTCACATATAATTGTAAACTAAACCAAGAAATTCACTGAAAGTTGTAGCCTAAAATCAATTCCATTTATCTAATTTCAAATCAAACGAATTCCCACCATTAAGTGCAATCTACAATCCCGTTAATATTTTTCCTCCTTTAATAAAGAGTAATTAGCTAAATCCAAAATCGAAGTTTTCCAGTGGTTTAAAATCATTCAAGACCCTTATTCCTCTCATGTTTGTGCTTTACGTGCTTACAAGACAAGCCCGGAAGATAAAAAGGAAGCTGTTTTTGCTGACTTACTAAAATAGAAAAATGTAGTTGCATGCAACAACAAATAGAAGAGGACATGTTTGGTTGGGCCAAGCAGGTTGACTATGGATGCCTGGATGGAAACCTCATTGATTTCTTGAAAGCTGGGGTCCCCATAACGCGTTTAAGGGGACTCTATAGTAACCGTTACAAGAAAGTAGCAACAGGACGGTGCTCGAGAATTGGTGACTAATTATTTAACAAATACCATCACCATTCGGCCATAAGCAATTACTATCGGTTTCACTGCTGAAACAGAGTAAAGCAAGAAATCTTGAGGTCCATTGTCTTTATCAAATGAAATGACCAAAATTAGAGGAGGCATTGATTGCCAGGTATCTGTCTGTTCAAGAAATAAATTTTGTGACCAAGTGGCAAAATCAATTGTTTCAAATGCTATTCTGATGGGTTAAGTAACATTTACAAAGAAGGTGACCACCCCAAAATAGCTAATATTATTGTTATTTCATAGCCGAGAAAATGTCACTTTATACACGATACTCGACTTCGCACGATAAAGATAAAGTAAAAGATGGCACACCTTCTTTATAAAGGATTCTCACGTTTATATCTACCGTGTTAAAAACATATCGTGATTTTCGATAAATTTTTTTATAAGTGAGCTCATAGTTTCATACATACTATGCCACAGAATATGCAAAAGTGAATAGCATTGCACATTGTGGTACAATTTGCGCTTTACTAACACTACTAGCTATAGTGGTGCTACCAAATTATTTGGCAATCTTATGCAAAATATCTGGAGCATGATTGTTACTTAACCCTTTTGAACTTTTTTGCTGTTTTTGTTTTTACACTCGTTGATTATGGGATGAGTTGGTTCACAATTCAAAACATTGTACGTGTTGTTGTGTGGTTAGTTGGCCTTATGATTGGATTTAGGTGTGTCCTTTAGGTTGAGTCATTGAGCTCTCGCTCTCTCTGGGCAGGAATCAATGCCAAAAGAGAAAGGCAAAATGGATTTGGTGGAAGTTGGCAGGACTAATGCAGTGAGCCTCCTGAGTGAGGACTTCTCTCAACTCCTTCCACAAGATTTGGAAGAAATACAAGCAAGAAACAGAAAATGCTGCCATGATGATGATAATTAACTTATAGTAGTGTTAATGCATAAACAGCTTAGTTTCTATTTTCAAGATAATTTTGCATGAAATGTTGAACTTGCCCTTCTCACGTCCAGATGCAGTTTGAACTTAAAAGCGTATTAACAAAAGTTATTATAGAAATAAAATGTGGGTTATTACAACAATATCATTTGCCTCCCAAACTAGAAATTTTCTTACATTGACTGGATCACAAATTCAGTTTTAGTTTTTGGTAGACAAATTAGATTACAAATTGAGTCATGGAAACATCGAAATTTCATTAACTTCCTAACAAATCCATCATTAGAAAATGGCACAGCAAAATCTGGAGGATCTTTCCTTTAAAAAACATGATCATATATGAAGTTTACATTCTTTAATTGCACATTGGCAACTTTATTATGATTCCTACTCACTCAAGAATTATTAAAGAATGCACATGAGCAACTTTATTATAATTCCTAATCACTCAAGAAATATTAGACACCTCTAAACTTGTTAGCTCCCTTTTAATGTCGCCAATTAGAGGGGCCTAAACTGGATACTAATCATGAAACAGTTTTACACTTGGATGTGAAATGACAACAGCATACAGCTAGTACTCTCTCCCATGGGTCGGCATGTGAGCACCCGTTTGGGTTTCATCCAAGGCCTTTCATTCATTATTGGGTTATGAAGTGCAATCCAGCTTGTTATTTACCAAGAACTAGTTTCAAAGGTCCACTTAGGTATAACACTTCTGGATTCAGATTTTTTTCTACTTGAGAATTAAAATGAAAATTATTACAAAATTTGAATGCACATGAAGTATAACTTTATATCCTTTTTTTAACAAAAAAAAAAATACTTCCTCGGTAGAAAGAAAGGATAATTTCGGACCAGTAAGATGCGTACTTGCATATGGAGGAATTTTTTTTGTTTATTGGTTGAAGAAGTGTTAACCTAGTCGTATGAAAGCTTTTATTCTCTGTTCTCGCAAAGAAGGATAAGAGTAAATCTTATATACACTAACAATGTATGTATTATCTTTGTTAGATTTATGACACATATACAAAAGTGAGTGTTTAATTTCAATTTTTACATAATTGTCATTCATAAAAAACTAACAGTGTATACACTGTCAGTATAGGAAAGATTAATTCTAAAATAAAAACTTTTGTTTGATAGAACCCATTTTGTTCCTAAGATTCTTTTTGGTCCATCCCAATGAAAATGTTTATCTTTTAAAAATAAAAGTTATGGAGTAAAATATCTAGACGTCATTGAACTATCTGCATTGTCTTTTTGTGGTCACTTCACATCAGAGATTCAACTTCTAAAAGTTTATATTTTGAAAATAAAATTTACAGGGTAAAAACATAGATGTCACTGCTAAACTTTGTGCATTATCTATTTGTGGTATACCGTTGATCGTTCCATCTAATGTTGGGTTCCAATAAAACTAAAAGGACCAAATTTCCTGCTTAGGTTTTATGACCTACTCCTAGAGTTTATTGAGTGATTAGAGATTGTAATGTTGTTGCAAATTTCTTCAAGGAGTGTACTGTGCACAAATTTTTACCAGAAGCAATGGGATAGCGATATGCATGAAGATACATTTTTGGGTTCAAGAGCAAGAAATCACACTAAAGGAAATGAAGTAACATTACCTCTTAGGTAAAAGAGTTTTTTTTTTGGTCGACATAGCTCTTGCTTACATCAAACTAATCCTCTGCGGTTATGCAAAATCTATCCAAGATACACAGCATTTTACTAGCAGGGTCGATCTGGTGATCTCAAATAACTACTCAAAAGTGATTACCATACGAATTACCTATTGGAAATTAGGTAAAATAATTAAAAGTGTAAAATTTCAAATGAGATTTTAATCATTCCCGATCTCTCTGCCGGTTAAAAAGAATTCAATTGATGATACTACAATACCTTTAGGGCAAAAAAAAAAAAAAAAGTAAGAGTAGCATTCTTTGAGATAGACATTATAAGTGAAATTCGACAATAATCTAATCTTGTGACTCTTTCTTGTTTGCTGTCGGTTTAAGGTCAACATCTAGATTAATTTCATACATGTCCTAGGTTTCCATTTAGGCATTCAAGACTCATCAATATTGGTTGGTGCAAAGATCAGCTCTTTCCAACATTTGACAAGATAAAAAAAATATTGCATAAAACGTCAAGAACATTTGAACAGCAAACATGACCCTTAGGTATCCAAATACAATTTTAAAAAACCATTATCATAGCACAATCTCATAATACAGCCATTAAGACAATAATGCATTACATAAATTTCGTCCAATGTGCCCAACAAACTATCCTAATGGACTAAAAATATAACAAGAGAGCATCTAACACCATATTAAATGAGTTAATTATATATCAGCTGTTTAACGGTTGAAATAATAAACTAGATATGGATAGACATATCCGATGATACAGAAATATAACATGGTCAATTTGTGGTATAAGAAACCGATCAAAGTGGGGATGATGGGCTTATTTTATTTGCCTTTTGAACTGACAAAAAATCCAACGTTTCAAATTAGTCTAGTCTTGGAAATTTAGGATGGCCATGGTTTAAAAAGTATACTTTTGAAAATTTGGGGCTTTCTTGCAATTCTAAGATTTCAAAAAATACCGCCAATGTAACGAAATCATGGCATTCTCGTAATACCAGAAAATGAAAGCCTAGTTTTGTAAATTCAAGTAACTCCATTATCCCCAATCCTATAATTAGGGCTCAAATCCTAATCCTTCGCGGCTCCAAGCATCAGGAATTTTTTACAAATACGTGAATTAT